GGTTTTGAAAGTGTTTTAAAAAGAATGTCTTTGCAATGGTTCTCGTATCTATAAGAACGCGTACAAAGTGTTTTGTCCTTTGGAAAGTGTTTCAAAGTGAAGTGTTGGTGTATAAAAATGTTTTTGTTGTGAGCAAGCGAGCAACTAAGGGCAACCTACCTACTCAAAAGGTCTTAAACGTTCTTTTCCTCCTCCTTTAGACGTTGTTATCTTACCATTGTTTTGGTAAGAAACCCCATCATTGGATGTGAAGGGACGGGCACATGACGTTTTTGTATAGTCATAGAAGAAAACCTATGAGACGTTTTAGCAATGTCATTTAGGGACTAGATCGTTTACCGAAGGCAACATTAAGGGTCATCGAGGGACTACAATATTTTATCGAGGCTCTTTGCTAAAACGCCCATATTCGAGGGACATGACTATTTTCCGAAAGGCAACAAAATGGGATTACCCTAAGGGTGCAAGTGTGAATGGTGTGTTTGATTTATATGCATTTAGTCTTGATTAGGGTTATCTATTTGTTGATTTCATGTCTTTCCATACACACTCTAACTACTAGCATTTGTATTAGAAAGCGATAAATCGCGGAAGTGTAAAGTCTTACGCTATTACATCATTTAGGGATGGGGGTACATAATTACAAATGGGGACTTGCAAGAATTTAAATCCTAATTATCTATTACAACCATATCGAATTATACAATAAAAAATAAAAAGGAAAGAAATTGTTTTGAAAATGATTTTTGTCTTAATAAATTAAAAGGAAAATAAGTATTTAATAAAAGAAAATATTTTTGATGTCTTTTTTATAAAAATAGTTCTAATGCTAAAATGATAAAAATAAGAGAGAAAAAAGGAAAAAATAATGAGAAAGAGGATCAGCATGTTGCTGAACGCGAAAATGAAGGGGCCAGAAGTTCTAACGCTGTGTGTTGTAGCTCAGAAAGAAACATCAAAGGTGATCAGAAGTTCTGGGTTGCTGCCGTTGAAATCCTGAAAGAAACGTTAGAGGGCAAAAACAGAAGTTCTAGGTTGTGTTTAGACATTGAGCAAAAAGTCAGAAGTTCTGTGCGTGTTAAAAAGTGAGTAAAAATCAGAAGTTTTGTGCGTGCTAATAAAAAGTGAGGAGAACTTAGAAGTTCTGTGCGTGTTAAAAACAGTGAGGAGAACTCAGAAGTTTTGTGCGTGTTAAAAACAGTGAGGAGAACTCAGAAGTTCTGTGTTGTGCTAAAAACAGTGGGAAAGAAAAAACCTAGAAATTATGTGTTGCAGTTCACCTCATTCCTTACATTAGTCAGAACATCAGCAACTCATTCAATTCTAAACAACAACAAATCAGAAAGATAAGAGCACAACAGTTTATAGAAGTTCTAATTCTAATTATGAGCCTAGCTTTATTCAAGAAGTTCTTATCCACAGTTTTTCTACTTATGCAATGATATAGACAACACCAATACTATGATATTTACATATTTACTGATGTTCTGAATGAAAATATTTAAAGTCAGAAAAACTTACCTTGAACCTGGAACGTGTGTTTGGGGCTTGAGCTGTTGCCTTCAGATGTCCTGGAGCCAGCAAGGACAACAGAACCAAAAATGCTATGTTCTTTGATTCAATGAGAAGAATAAAGGTTTTGGTTTTGTTTGAGAATTATGTGTTTACGAATGTTTGACTGTTTTTTCTCTTATCTCTTTGATAATTCTCTCTTTCCAAAAGCCATCCTCCTGAAAGTGTGATGGAGCAACTTATTTATAGGTGAGTTTGTTGTGGTTTTAGGGGGGAAAACAAATGAGATTTAAACCTTTTTGGCATATTATTCTATTACTTTTTAATCATAGTTTTTGTATGCTAATTTAGTGAAAATATGGGGTTTCAGAAAGTGCAAGCGTGGACTGGACCAGCAGCTGGTTGCAGGACTGTGCTACAGTAGGGCAACAGGCTGCTTAAACGAGGTTTTGGGATTTGGTGATGTTCTGATCGCAGAAGACTAGAAACGTAGCCTCCATATGCTGAAGAGTCATGTTCTGACCGAAGAACATTGCTTCCATATGTTCTGACTGAAGGGTCATATTCTGAATAGACTTTGCAAATTCTGATTGCACTCGCGTGGAGGCTGACCCAGAAGTTCTGAAGTATCATATTCTCCTAACACTTAGAAAATTTTCCAAATGTTTAGAAATTTGTTTTTTTTTTCAAAGTAATTTATGACTTCTGATTTTGATGAACTAATTTCATGTCTTGATGAAATATAATTGTTGAGACTTGATTTTTGATCCAAAAGTCCAAGTTTGACTTTTCAGTGTGCTTTTGACCATTTTGTCCTTGTGAATGACTTTCTTGGAAAATTGTAATCCAAGACTTGAAACTTGATAGAAGCAAACCTGAGGGTCCAAGATGATCCTTTGAGAAATGAGAGAGAAAATTTTGGGGTACAACATGAATTTTTAACTTGCATAATTCATCGCCATTGATTCTCTTTTTCTTCCCTTGATCGCTCAACCGGAGCTCTTGATATCAGATGTTGGAAATCTATCAAATCCTATGATGAACTTATACCAATCTTGATGAACAAGATTGTTATCACCACATATTGACAATGAAAAATTAAAGAAGATTAAAGAAGAAAAGAGATTTGGGATTTTCGCAGAGTAACTCTCTGCCCACAAACTTCAAAAAACTTTCTATTAACTTGCAACTGAAATTTTGTAAATACAACTTGATTAAAAAAATAGGGGTTACTCCATCTATTTATAGATTTAGGTTAGTTTGCTCTCTAAGTCAAAGTCCAAAACTATAAAAGCCCAAAATACATATTTTGGAACTAAATCAAATTTATCTATTTTAGACATAAATCAAATCTATCTATTTTAGATCTAAATCAAATTTGTGTGTAACAAACTGCTTCTACACTTCAACACAATCTTTTCGACACAAGAAATTATACTTTCAACAAGTATAACCTAATAGAAACAAAAATTAAATGTACCACCGAGGTGGACAAATTTAGAGTATGACAACCGATTACCCAAAATCTGCTAACCTGTTACACCCCTTATAAGCAAACATCTACGCCTTTGTTTTATATGTGATAATCGGTTACCTCCAAAATGGTAACCGATTATATGTAGTGCAGAAGTACTTTTCTGTTATTTATCTAAAACGAAAATCACTTATTTTTCCATCGAAATAATCTCAAATTTCACCCAATGCACAATTCAATTTCTCATTTTCAATGTTCATGCACACACATCATTAGCATCATTTCAATTCACCACATAAACAATTATATATAAATTTACACAATTAAGTCACATTCACAAACACCGACATAAATCCAAAATTCACAAATTCACACAATATATATATATATATATATATATATATATATATATATATATATATATATATATATATATATATATATATATATATATATTCATTTCACTGTTAAATTTCATTATATTTTCAATTTTTCAATTTTGTTTTAGTTACTTTACTCTGATTTACGTGAACATGGTTAGCAACAGAAATTGAATTTCTGCAATGAATTTCGGCAGTGGTGGTTAGCAACAGGAAAATGAATTTCTACAACTCTTTATGTTCATATATTTCTCAAAAAAGTAATTCCTTTTTTTTTTTCATTTTTCTTTTTAATAATTGTCATCAGCCATAAAAAATTCAAAATACATAAAATGATGAAAAGTTTCCGTTTCAAATTATATTCATTTTAATTCGATCTCTGAATAAGTTTGCGACACCATTATTAAGTATATTGAATAAATATATTTTATATTGTTTTATAATAAAAAATTTAATTAAAATTTAAAATATAAATAATTCATTGGATTTTTTTTTTTTGGTATTAAAAATTCATTGGATTTTTAGAGTATATTGGATGGATTAGATCTATTCATGACTTTAAATTAATTGATTGAATCCAATTCATTAACTAAGATTTTATATAATTGATGGATTGGATGAATTATTTAGTAGATGGATTGGATGGATAATTATTTAGTAGATGGATTGGATGGATAATTGCTTAATGGATTCAATTGTCACCCTTAATTTTTATACAGCAATTTCATTTATTCCTTAGTAATCTGTTGCAACAATAATAGTTGCTACACTGAGATGGAAACAGAAAGCTGAAACAATTGCATTAATTACTACGTTGAAGTATTATCTAAAACCCTCACAAGTTGAGATCTACATGTCAAGCATGTTTCAACTAGGAATTTTTTGAATAAATAGTTGTGAACTTTAGTATGAGAATCGTTCATAAGACATTATTCTGAGTTAGATGACAGTTTGAATAACAAGCTGATTGCCACAATTTGAATGATAAACTGATTACCTCTCACTCACCCAAACTCGATATTGCTTGTATTGCAAGAGTCAAGCGCAGCAAACAATCATATTTAGATTGTATTGGTGACAGTTACTTATGCTGCGACAAACGTTTGCTTCAGCCTGAATATAATACTAGTTTCAATGTTCTATAAAAGCACTGATTATTTTCGCTTGGATGTGTCATTACAATATGAGAAATAGATATGTTAAAAAGTAAACATGAATAATAATGAATTGGAAAGAATCTCATTTCATCTTCAACTACAAATAGTACAAGGACTTGAGAATGAATAATGAATTGTAATGAATTTCATTTCACTTTCATATAGAATGAATACATAAACAATGAAATAATGATGAGTCGAAATTGACTTCAAATGTATATCTAGAAATCTTGACTATAAAAAATGAAGAACTGAAACTAGTATTGATGTATTAATACAAGCAAATTGCACTAACTCTACTCTTTGAACTAGTAAATCTTATCTGCAACAAAGAATGAAAGAATAATAATAACAATGACAATTTTCCTACCAATAAAGAATCTCTTGCTGACTCCTACCCTTTTGTTGTCTCTGTGTATACCTGACTCCGAAAACAATGTACCAATGAAGTAAAGAAAATCCGCGGCAAAGAATCAATCAAGCTGCCTGAGAAAAAGAGGATGAGCTTCCAGCAACATCGACCGGTGCCCAAGAAGATACTGTGTAGAGAGGTTGATCAAGCCAACCCAAAGTAAGTGCTGTTGCTCCTTCCTTCTCCTGCTTCTGAATATTGTAATTATCACAAGAATACATCTTCAACAGAAACTGGCTCTGAAACATTTCCCTATCTGTCACTCCCATGCATCTGAACCCTCCATGCTCCACAATCATCTTCCTCCAATTCCCAAAACTCTGGTGCCTCTCCAACCTGTCCCTTCCTTCACAAGCAATGATGTTTCTTATCTCCCTAGCAAACATCTCCTCTATCTTCATCCTCGCTGGACTCTCCAGTGGAAGGCCGCTATGATCAATCGAATCAAACAGCGCCGAGTAATGTTTCAATGAATTGCAGACTCTTGAGTCCAACCTCGCCTCGTTGTGTTCTGCTTCTTGTTCTGCCATAACAACAATTGTAGGATTTGTGCTACGAATGAGACCCAAAAAGTCTCTCAATGCTCCTCCACTGCCATCATGAAGGGTCTTGTGAAGCTGCAAAACACAGTTCACAGCCACAGTTTCATGTTCCTTCACATGAAGCATCCAAAGCCTCACATCTTCAAGTCTGTCCACCACTGGATGAAACTCAAAAGGAAGGTTCAAAGCCTCGGCAAAACCAGCAAGCCTGTCTCCGGTTTCATTCAGCTCTTGCTTTGATTCCCCAACGCCCGTGATTCGAACATGGCTAGGAGGATTGGTCCTTGAAGCTAAACTTTGGAACAAGCTAGGCCATTGAAGTCCTTGCTTTATGTCAAAGTCTATAATGTGAACCCTATCTTTCCCTTCAAAAGCCCTCAACAGCATCTCATTCGATGTGAAATGAAGAAACTTGGGAATTGGGGTAACCTGGTTTAGAAGCCTCAATGCAGTGACAGTTTCATCATCATCCACCACCCTGTCGAAATCACGAGAAGTGGCAGTGATGTGAAAAACATGAGGCCAAAGCCTGGTGACTCTGATGGCTAAGGCTTCTGTAAAATAAGCACAAATTCTGCTTATGGAAGTTCCCCTTGGAGATGCAAGATCACCCAATTTCGCAATGAAATGGTTGATTGCGGCCACATTCCTTGATCCAATAGCATCAACACAACCGGTAAGCAAGCTCAAAAGCTCAAACCCGCGATGCTCCTCTTCTTCATCCTCTTCTCCTGTCTCCACTTCAGTGCCTTCATGCTGATAAGGATTCCCTGAACCATTGCCATCTCCATGTTCCGATGCATTCTCATTCAACCTCAGGCTCAAACTCTGGCTTTCTGATGAATCATTGGAAACTGAACCTTCGTTGACATGATGATGATGTTGATGCTGGTGGCTACCCTCACCGAAATTGGTGATCGTTGTTACAGCAGATTCAATCCAGGGATTGTTGGACAAAGGCAAAGGTGCAGAAACCACTTCAGCAGGAGCAAAACAAACCCTTTCCTCATCTCCAGAACAATTCAGAGAAAAAGGAAGTGAAGGGTTATTAAATCCTCCAAAACTATGAACAGACCAAAAGTTTCCAGCACCAAATTGTGCCAAACTGAAACTTTCCCTGTCAAATTCCTCGAAATTCTCATCACCACCGTTACCCTTTTTCCTCTTGACTCTATTTGTAAAAGACTCCTCCAAAGATCCATGTTCCGCCAGCCTCTTCAAACTCCTCCCACCCTTCTCCCAAAACTCTTCATCCTTGATCTCTCCCAATGTCTGTGCTGTTGTTGCTAAAGGCGGCAACCTAATGTTCTGCTGCAGAGAACACGCGTTACTACTGACTTCGGGCTTCTCGACCGAAATTCCCACGGGCCTCAACTGCTGCTGCGAACGCGAAGAACCGTCTTTCCTCGGGAAGCTACAAGGTAAATCCAATCTCTGTGCGCTCATTGACGATATCTGGAAATGACAAGCTTGAAACTGTGCTGCTGATGATGCTTCACTCCTTAATCTGTGAGTTGGTGACAACAATGTCGAGCTAGAACAACCAGCCAACATCGTCTAGCCGCTTTTGCAACCTTTGTTTTTCACTCACCCCAATTGCTTCTGCTTGTTTTTTTTAATTCTCTTCCCTTTTCTCTCAATTTTAGTAATAACTCAATGATCAAGTATTGAAGAAAGAAATTAGTTTTTGTTATTGTTTTTTTCCCTAATACTCAATTTGCATCAAGAGAAAAATGCAGTGTGATGTGAGAATCTATGTGAGTGTGTGAAAAAATCGTTTCAAATTCAATAAAAAAAGGAATCCGATGAATGTATAAAATCCAAACAAACTCAAAGAGTGATCCTATAATGAATTGAATCTGTGACTGTAATTTGTGAGTGCTAGTTGTATATTTTGTATGATAATAACAAAAGAATGTGTAGTTACTATATGCAGGAAAGAATGAAAGAATGTGATATAAATTAACAAGAAATCAAAACATGATTAACCTAGCACAAACAAAAAAGATCATCGGATTCCAGAAAGACTCAAACAAAGTTCATTAAAAAGTGTTTGGTGTGTGTTGTGATTTGAGCTAATGATTTATGAAAAATGAGAAGAAGGGAAGAGAAATAGAAACATACACCTTGGAATTCGTGGCCGATGGACAATTCCTGAGAAATATTGAAACCCATATTAGCAACTTTGAAACAACACTTCCTCATTGCAACCAACCGTTGAAGCTAGGAATCAATCAAGCATTTGAATTTGCATTTGCATCACTTACCCTAAAGAACTAAGGTTTTTGTTCTTCTCGTTGTTGTTGAGGTTGTTGTTCTTCATGTCTCCATCATGATTAGTAGAAAACTATCTTGTTCTTTTTTTCTGGTCCTACGAGTGGGTTGAATTACCAACATGAAAAACAAGATGACGGCATGGTTTTGTAAAAGCGGAGAGGGTGAATGGAATGGTTGTGGGCCATTTGATGAAGATCTGACGGTGAGAAGGTGAGGGGTTATATGACCGTTGATGAATGTCGGTGAAATATGACCGTTGGTGTACGGATGAATATATCATGAAACTGAGAGATGTCACGTGACATGTATAATGTAGTTGTCCCCTGATATCCGTTTACACATGACCGTTGCTTTTAGTGAGTATTTTGTCATCATGGTTCATGGTCGAATCTGCATGTTCTTGACCATACACTACTTCACTTTCTCAAATTACTTATCAATTGACGTCTTTGGATGGAGATTGGTTTTTGATAAATTGATTATGGGCTAATGCCTTCTTTACCGTAAAATTATTTTATTAAAACAATTTTAAAAAGAATCAAAACTTTTACTAATAAATAAATAATTAAATATATTTTTCATTTCTATAAAAAATGGTATATTTTTAGTCACTATTTAAAAAATAGTATATTTTAATCCCTATAAAAACTTTTTGAATTTTTAAAAATATTGAAGAAAGGAATGAAAATCTCTATTTATAAATTAAATTTTAAATTTTTTTTTTTATTTAAATTTTATAACATTCTAAACATGTCTCCAAAATAATCATTAAAAAATACATATCAACCTAATAACAAAGACTAAAACTACGTGTATAATAATTTTATATCAATTAAAATATGTCATATTTTTTTATAGAGATCAAAAACAAATTTTGATAACTTATAAGAACCAAAAACATATTTAACTCATAAATAAAACTGAATTAATTTTATTATAATATTTTATTATATCAATATTTTCTTAACTATTGATTTATAAATATCAACAACTTATTTACATTTTAAAAAAAAAATATAAAAAAATATTGCTGTCAAAAAGTGAATTTTAAACTATTCATTCCATTTTAAAATGAGGATTCCATTTTTTCAAATTAAAAAATATAATAATATTGTCATAAGATATTACATTACTAAATTAACTTTATAAATGTGTTAAAAATAGTATAATATGTAATAAATTAAAGAAGACAATTGAAAAAAATAACAATCATTTTTATATTGAAAAATAAAAATAACATTTATTTTAAAATAAATTTTATTTGATAAAATGACAATCATTTAAAAACAGAAAGAATAATAATTTATCCTAATCTGACTGAACTGATAATTATCAGTTAAATTACCTCAATAATTATCAGTTAAATTACCTCATCCACTTGAGAATCTTTGTACAATGGTAGTAGAAATGAGAATAGGTTTAGCTGATTTAGATTTTACAAAATTTAAGTTTGATCACCGTAAATTCTAGTATAACTAGCAAAATGTCAATATTATCTAATTGTACGCCGATACCAAAGTTCAATCTCAGTCTCTTATGATTGGTGTGAATTTTTAGATGTATTATCACTTTGTCTACCAAAAAAATTCGGTCTAACCATATATTTTAAGGTTAATCATGAAATTGGCCTATTATAACTTAGTTTTAAATTGGCGTTATTATATTTTTGAAAGTTTGATTTATTCGTTAAATTATTGGAAATCATATTTCACACAAATATATTTAAATATATAGTGTTATCTATGTTTATAAAATTAACTTCAGTTTTAACATTTAATTTTAGAAATATATATATATATATATATATATATATATATATATATATATATATATATATATATATATATATATATATATATATATATATATATATATATATATATATATATATATATATATATATATATATATATATATATATATATATATATATATATATATATATATATATTGTATTTTAATTTTAATTTATAATAATCATAATAAAAATATAAAATAGAGCATTTCAAAATTATTTAAGTTGATTGATCTGATAAATTTTTTTTAAAAAAAAATTTATAGAATAAGTCTTCTTTATTTTAAAATATAATGATAAGTCTGAACATTATAAGCAATTTTAAGACCAACTAGTATTTTGAAATTCTGACTGCAGATACTCAATGTCACGTTCAATGTTATGACACCGTATCTGACTTTCTATAAGACAGTAAATACAAAAACAGTAAAGAACACAGTCAATTGTTTACCCAGTTCAGTGTGCAACAACACCTACTCTGGGGGCTACCAAGCCAGGGAGGAAATCCACTATAAGAGATATTAATTCAGGAATAAACCAACCAGTTTATCTCCTTCACTTAAGACCTACCCAATGCAACTTCAATCTAAGTACAACTTAAACCTGAGTTCCTACTCACTCCCCCTCAATCACAGCAGTGATACTTAAAATAATTGACTAATGAATTGATGAAGACACTCTTCAAAACACACACTTGATTATGCTTCACAGCTTTTTAATCAAGCAACACAAACACTCTTGCTTCACAGCTTTGAGTGATACATAAACCTAACTTGACTTTGCTTCAAAGCTTTAGTCAAGAGACACAAAACACTCTTGCTTCAAAGCTTTGAGTGATACAAAACCCTTACAATTAAAACCTATTCCAAGTCACTTATCACAATGATACTTGCTTGGATTACAATAGTTAAAACTATACAGCTCCTAAATGATCTTCTATCAAAAAAGGATGAATTCCAAACAGCAGCCCTGTTGAATATATAGCAGCTGCTTCTTCAGTTAGGGTTTCCACAAAAAGCTAGGGTTAATTCCGTTTGACCTTAAGACTTGGTCACAATACTTTATCAACCAGGTTAGGGTTGAGCTAGGTTAACCCAAAGTCCACGAGAGATTCTGTTCTGGAAAGACTGAGTCATTTTCCTGAAAAATCTGAGAATTAACCAAACTGCATAACTGTTAGATCAGAACAGGATGTCTTAACATTTGTTATGACATCTGAATTCCTGTTTACTGATTTTGGTAAATGTGATCATTTTGCAAAATGCTCAGATACACACTCATAAACAGCAGCACTTGTATGCCATTATTTTTCTGCAAAGGTACCTAATAAACCAGTACCTAATAAATCAGAATGTTATGACATTAGTCATGACAGTCACACACCTGGTTTTACCAAAAATGCATGCCAATAACTAAACACCTACAAACTCCCCCTTTGGCAGATTTTTGGCTAAAGCCCATAAGCAATCAGAGAATAGATATCAGCAAAATAAATGTGACTGCAGAAAAATATAGTGTTTATCAAGTAATTAACCACAGAATATCTCCCCCTCTTTAGCCACAAATGGGCCAAAGATACATGTTCTTAAAAGTTATACAGTCATCCAGAAAAAGTAATAAAAACAACAACTAAAAACTGAACACACTTGCAAACTCCACCAGGAACCAGCATCAACTCCACCAACCTTTAAGCATTGTCCCCAGACTCAGAAGGTTCGGGCTTCTTCCTTTTCTTGTGAGCAGTATCAGCATTCTTCTCTTTGTCTGATGTCTCAACATCCTTAGAGACATCTGGATTTGTTTCAGCATTTGAACTTTCTTGATTTAAAGGAACAGAAATTCCAGGAACTAAGTGGTTCTCATTCAGAATTCTTGTAACAATTTTAGCTATTGCCTGACGTACATAGGCTGACCCTTCCCTATTTGCAATTTCAGAGGAAACAGAAGAAGAAGGATTAGAGGGATTACCAGAGGCAGTAGCTTGGGACCTTCCTGCATGCCTTGTTCTCAGCTCTTTGACCTTGGTGGGGTTAGTTTCCACTTCTCTAAGAGGAGCAATCTCCAGGACTTCAGAATCCAGGCAAGATGAGATTGCCCTAGAATCTTGATCAGAGGAAGAGGATGAAATAGTCGTATTGAATGATGATGGAGTTTGAGACATTTTAATAGTCTTAGAAGACCAATAGCAACTGGAGAGAAAATTCTGATTGAGAGACTGGGTTTTGATGCGGAGACGAGAGGGGAAGGAAGAAAAAGAGTGTTTATTCAACTTCTTAAAAAATTTGAAGGAAATGGGAAAATATAAGTTTAACCCAATCAGAACAGACTTAACAAGTATAACTCCTTCAACCCTTGTTTTAAGCAAAATTAATTGCTACAATTCCTCATGTTGGCAAATACCTAACTTACCCCTCAAGTTTTCAAATTGATTTGCATCAAGTGCCTTGGTAAAAATGTCAGCCAGCTGTAGCTCAGTGGCAAC